ATTTATTCATACGGTTCATAATGTAGATATTCTTTTAGGCATTGGCTTGAGTGGTACTTGGTGGTAAAATTATTAAAATAAAACCGGTAGTTCTTTTTTAAAAGTGAATTGAAAATTATAAAATTTATGTACTGTATAAATATTTTAAGAACCACCAGTCGATCTTAATGATTTTACTACATTAGAACCGGAAAGACATAATGAACAACTTTATTAATACCAACAAAAAAGTTTACTTAATAATTATATCTCTTCCAGGGCACTTTTTTATATTTAGGGGGTGGCATTAGCAAAATGGGGGGTGGAAATAGCAATTCTCAATTTTTATTGCTATTTCATATTATAACAAAAATTAACCATTAAATTTATTCAGATCACTATCCTAGTCTAAAAATATGAAAAAAAAAAATGACCGAGCATGAACGATCACGAGCGATTAATCATATAACGATAATGATCAAAAAAATTTTGATCGATCACTATTTCTAAATATACCGTATTATTGCGAAATAACGCCCCGGGGCGTTATTTCGCGATATACAGTAAGAATACAAAAACTTTTATGGTTAAAAATTCAAAACTGTCACTTTTAAAATTTAATAACATAAATGACTGCTATGGCTTTAAAGCAGTTAAGGATAAGGCATCTCTGAACACTAGTAATTTATAGATTAGATGTGATAAGCAAATTAAGACCATATATGTACAGTACTATACGGTAACTAAAAAAAAAATTTCAATCAGAAAATGCCACCACAGAATTTTGTCATTCTTGGTGGCGGCATCTCTGGTTTAACAGCAGCATGGTATTTAGCCCGTAATGCTCCACCCTCAACAAAAATCACATTGTTAGAAGCATCTGATAGATTTGGCGGATGGATACAAAGTACACGTGTTGGAGAAGAAAGAATACTTTTTGAACAAGGCCCTAGAACTTTGAGACCTAGTGGATTAGGTGCAGGTGTTATACTAGATATGGTAAAACAAATGGAAAAAAATTTGTATTTGTAACAAAAAATTGTTATTACATTTTATAAATTTTGCTAATATAGCGCATATATACGTAATTTGGATATCTATAAAAATAAAATTAAGGCAGCAAAACTGAATTTAACAGGATTCATTCATGCAGTTGGTAAATATGAGCCAGCTGCAAGAAATCGCTATTTATATTACCCAGATCGTCTCGTTCAACTTCCAGGAGGCAGCTTACTTTCAAGTTTAAAAAGTATTGTGCAGAATAAATTTATTTTATCCTCAATTTACTCAGTAATACGTGAACCATTTATCAAACCATTTAAAAATTTGGATGATGAAAGTATTCATAGTTTTATTGCTAGAAGATTCAATTTAACGTTGGCTGATACAATGATGAGCGCACTTGTACATGGAATTTACGCAGGCGACATAAAGAATCTTTCGATTAAATCCACATTTAAACAAATATTTGATATGGAACAAAATTATGGTTCAGTAATTAAAGGTATGATTAATAGTAAAAAGTTGTCTGCGCTTTCTCAGAAGGATCAAAGTTGGTTGGATTTACTTTGTTTAGAGAACAAAGATCTTTTCTCATTTATGAGTACTACGAGTCTTTATTCTTTTGCAAATGGTATTGAACAATTAGTGCATGCTATCGTTAGTGATTTAGAGACTAGGGAAAATGTAACTATAAAGACATCGCATCGTGTAAAAAAATTGAAATTTGATAAAGAGGTTGAGGTAGGCAAACGTTTTTGAGTCATACTTTAATTGAGCTTAGGTAAAGAAAAAGGACTTTTTGTAGGCAAATGTTCTGGATTTTCTTGATATATATATATATATATTATTTCAGGTCTATACAAATGATGGGTCATTCAGAACCGATCATATTATCAGCACCATTCCATCACACGAATTGGCAGGTCTGCTTCCTGAGCTTCCATATCTAACGTACAATCCTTCGGTAACGGTAGCAGTTGTAAACATTGCATATGGCCGACCAAATTTACTGCCGGTAAAAGGATTTGGGTATTTAATTCCACGCATAACACCAAATAATCCGTACCATGTCCTTGGAGTAGTATTCGATTCTGATGCCATGCCACATCAAGATTATAAAAAGGATAAGTACACGAAACTTACAGTAATGATGGGAGGACATTATTATAATAATCTTTCGGAAAATGATTATCCAAATAAAGATGAAATATTAAGCCAAGCAGTTGAAACGATAGAAAAACATTTAGGAATATATTTAACACCTTTACAATGCATGGTACAAATTCATAGAAAGTGTATACCACAATATTATGTTGGACATTATTCCAGAATTAAAGAATTACATTATGCGATTAAGAAAAATTACGGGAAAAGATTGAGTGTTGGAGGAGCAAGTTATTTTGGAGTTAGTATTAATGACTGCGTTACCAATTCTGCAAGATTGGTGCTAGATTTGCTTGGAAATGAAGATGAAAGAGTAATTATAACGGGATTGGAAAGAGTTGAAGAGATTGAACCAACAAAATCCAAGTAAACTTATTTGTAGTAAATAATTAAAAGATATTTAATTTGATTTCTTAAATTATATTACTCTTAATATTCACCTTCGCTTCTCAAACATTTATTTGAAATTTCAAAATAACTTAGAACATCACATTAGTGGTCATAAGCTAATTACTATTTTAAACATCCATATTCATAACACTTAGATTGTTCGTACTTAAAGAATTTGTATCTTTCTATAAGAGAATTTGTATAGGGTTAATAAATTTATTGTGTCTTGAAAGACGCAAAAGCTGTATATCATATTATAAATAACAAAATACGATCCTTTAGTACTAAATAATTATGTATTCGATCAACTTACTTAGTTCTGCTTTGTATCTTGTTCCAATGTAATGCTATTTAAAATGTCCGGTATATGGCGCTTAATTCCTTAAATAAATATCAATCTCTAACTGCTTCATTAGGTCATATAAAGTTAATTAGTTGTTTCCCGTAACCCAGCTGGGTCAGTTTTTGTAAAATTTTGAGAAAAAAATTTTATAAGTTACTGTTATAAATACTTCCGGGTGATTTTTTAAAAATTTTATATAGTTTTACAGCATTGAGAATTATACGAAACAAAGAAAATTTAATATATTACATTTTTTATTTAAAAGTTTTTATATATAATAATAATTATTACAAAATATAGATCGAAAAGAAAACTAGCATGAACATGAATCAGATGAAATTATTGAAACGATAGATTTAACGAATATTATAGTATAATTATATAAATACTTTCCAAAACAAAAAACTTTCTTGCATATTTGGTCCATTCACCAAAATTACCTGATCATGCACCGTTTATTTTTAAAATTCCGGCGTTTAAACATGTGATGTTTATGATCAGAATATTCTGACGTATGAATTTAATTCATTCAGATCATGTCTGTATGTTTTACAGCTATTTTCATAATTTCTGGAACACCTACTCGTTACCCGAAATCTTTTTGGTCATCTGGTAAATTATCT